GGAAAAGAAAAAATAAAGATGTCGTATTTCCTTCAAAAGCCAGACTCTTGTCTGTTTTGCAATAATATTTGTTAATAATGTGTAGTATTGTTCATTAGAAAATCTTGGCATAGAGAAAAACCCTTAATTAATGTTCTGTAAGTTCAATTTTTGTGCTATTTTGAAAAGTATTTGGCTGAAGGCTACATTTTCAGACAGAGCTCCCTTTCAGTTCTATCTGTCAATACATTTGGGTTTAGCATTAGCACAAAGCTAACTGTGATGCTGAGCAGTAGCCATCATCCTAACCTTAAAGTGGAACTGTTATGCAAAATGCAGTTTTCAGAAACTCTAGTAACAGTCCAAGTACTACAAAACCCCAACTCTGCCCTTTTCTGGCAACACGTTAATGTTTCTTGGTGTCTGGAAAACGAGCCGTTCATTAAGTCACAATTGGCAGGAACTGCTCCCAACCTGGCAACCCAAGCAGAGCGGGGTCAGCAGGTTTTATCACGGTGTGTGCCGTACAATGGCTGCTGGGAAAGACAAGAAATCCAGAATTCAGTTGCTGTATTATTGTTGGTTGTGCAGGAGGCTCCACTTCTGCTTTTCAAAGATTTAGGGTTGTATAATTGTTAAAACTGTTCGCAGCCATTTTCATGTACGCGTGTAAATGTTGAGTTGGGGGACTGAGGGGGCCGTGGCCAACAGCATCTTACTTGGATTTAAAGTAACAGGACGTCCTAAAACAGTTCATTCTGAAAGAAGCTCAAAACAGAACAAAGCAGATTAAATTATTATGATCTAAGAGTGATTTTGTGCAAAAAATGTAATGAACATGTTTTGAGTAACCCACACATCTTTCCTAATTTGTTTAAAAGAAAGCATTCAGTCTTTTGAATCAAAATGATGTATTAGCCTGCACACATTTGTGAACCAGTAGAAGTCTGAACAGGCTGTCGAATTTCCATTTTCCAATGCAAACTGGAAGAAGGCATAAAATCATGACCTGGTTGTACCGTAACGCCGATATCTAGAACAATTTGGAGATGTGAACAGTGAAGTTTTGTACTATGGAAATAAAACAAACGTCGGTTTGTCATTTCTATTTGCTCACTATCTCACGGCTAATAGTAATCCAGTGAGCAAGTGCCTCAATGTGTTCTTGTGCAACAGGTCTTATGCTCTTAGTTACATATTTCCTAAAAGAATCATTAAATGGCTTTTTTTCCTATTGAGTGGTAATCCTCTGCCAGGAGATGTGACAAAAAACAGCTTCATCGCACTGAACAGCTTTTGCCCCAAAATCTTCCTGACTTATCAGGTTTCAACCGGTTTGTCTTTAAACCAGTCACTGCGAACCAGTCCTCATCACCGGCTTAATGTAACCGAGCCATCGTTGGTGGGATTCAGAACCGTTTGAAAAGCTGACCCGTTGTAGTATTTCCAAACAGCAAATGCTAAATGTCTTCTTTTGACGAAATGCCCCGAAGAGTGGCCGGTTGCCAGGGGAATGGGAAAAGCTGGAGTGTGGAGAGGAGCTGATGTGAATGGATCCGTTTCATTTCAGGGGTCAAAGAGTGACGACTATCTCTCGAAATGTTGTTGGTCCTAAAGGCACAAGTCTCGAACACAGACCCCATGTGCTTTCCCTGAGAAGGTAATAAACCCCTGTCTCACAAAGAGCCTATGAATAAAAGCAAGAAGCCGGGCTCGCTCAAGGCTTCGAGGCAATGCAGCTCTTGTTAATAGTTCCCTTTAAACCCAAAGGTTTGGCTGAAGGAAAAGGGCAGACTGCGACGTGGAAACAAAGAAACACTCTGCTATGAGTTTACAAAGAATGCTTTTTTAGATTTTTGATCATATCAAACTGTGTTCAGCCCGGAGACACCCTGCCCTCCCCCCTTGCTGTATTTGCGTTCACCTCTGCAATTAGAGGGTTTCCACAAACAGGAAGAAAGCTTCCTGTTCTCGGCGCTTCGTTTGCATTATCAACTGGATCATTGGTAACACTTAGCGACAATGAGGAGGCTGTTTCTAAATGCCTTGACCAAAAGCGTTAAACTTCAAAACGCTGGAATTTTTTTCATCTCGTTTTATATTTTCTACAGTTGTGAATGAAGAAGCGTAAAACAATCTCTCGGTGCACAATGTCCATTCTGTTTGGCTCATCTTCTTTATTTCTGGGCTGATTCACATCGGTTTCAACAAACGGACTGAAAGCAAAACAAGTGGCAGCTGAAGAACACAGACTGAAATGAAAACCGTTTGGTAACGCTTCATTTGAAGGGCTGTGCATAAGTCTGACTTGAACATGACACCATGAGCATGAAGGAGACTTTATGAATGTTTATGACTGATGCCATGAAGTGTCAGGGGCTGAATAATGACACATTTAATGCATTTAAAACTTGCATAAAAAGTCCACTAAAACTGTCAGCTTTGCATTAAATGTGTCATTATTTACCAAATAACACTTATTGACAGCGATTCTTAACATTCACAAACTTTCCTTCATGTCCATGTCTGCTGTCATGTCATGTTTGTGACGGTGTCATCTCAGTCTTAAGCACAAATAAAGGAGGGCCAAACATTTTGATAACATCCAATTTGCCCATAATCCTAACCCTTACAAATAAAGGTTTGTTCAAATCCAACAACAGTATTATGTCACCAATGTTTGTTTTTTAAATCACTGTTTTGAAGTCAAAATGGATTTTTCTAGTTCCTTAATAGATGAAAGTAATCCCCCCCAAAAATAAAACATTGAAACTTGTAATTAGACCTGAAGAAATTGATCAGTTCCTCATCAAAGTCTTTGACTTTCTGAGTTTGTTTTAAGAAAACAACAACAACAACAAAAACTTTATTCTAGAACAAATATGAAGTTGGTCTCCTTTTGGACTTTCCTGGTTTAGCTGTTTGTCAAACCAACACGTTTAAGATCATCCCATGTCAGACAAAGATACGTTTTCAAATCATGATTTCATTTATTAAAGCAAAAAAAAATAAAAAACTATCCAAACCAAACTGGAATATGTGAAAAAGTAACCGTCCTGTTTTGTACTTTAATTTAACAAGAGGATTTAACTTTGAAGCCCACAGGAAAACCTCGATTTAGTTTCTCGTGGGGACTTTTGAGTGCGACAGAGACGGAACAGAAAGGAGAAGTGAAAGGGAGATTTAAAAGGAAAGAAGATAGAAATGGAGAGAAAGAGAAAACAAGTCAACAGCCCTGAAGTCTGCCTCTAAACCTGCAGGAAGAGAGAGAACAAAACAGAGAAACCACCAACACGCAGATGGAGCGTCTGCGTGTTGTAGAATGAGAATGAGCGATTTTGTTACCGGCTCATCTCTGATGTTTGAATTGAAACGACGCGTGACGGGAATCCTCTGACGCGCCATCATTCTCACGCAAGAGAATTTTGTGACATGTACGAAAAAATATGAGGGTTGACTTTTTAAAAATCTGCTACAGCTGGAGATCAGTGTAAGACACGTCGAGTGGAAATGCAGAAACATCTATTCCTGTTTGGGTTTTTTTGTTGTTGTTTTTATTTATTCATTTATTTTTTTTAGATACATACATTTTATTGTTAGAAAATAACTAAATCAATCATTTTTAATAGAAACAAACTGACATTTTGTGTTTTTAGGTCAGTGAGTAACTCCAGAAATTCTTTGAGATGAAAATCGTCGGTGCGGCAATAAAAATCCACATTCTGGTCGTTGTGACTGAATCGTTCCTGTCACTTCTTGAATGGCTCTTCCAGCCTTTGAGAGACTTATTCAGAAGCTGCCGTTTGTGTTTCTTTGGGTTTTTTTGTGTGTGTCTTTTCCCCCCTCTGTTAAGATAACTTCATAGTGCTTCAGTTATTTTAAAATAAAGTCTTCAGGGAAGAAAATTCATCATTAATAGTGACCCATTGTGTGTGTTTCAGCCGTTTCCTCCGTTGGGGGAAATGTCTTGGATCACTCTTGCACCAAGAGATGAATTTCTCTACCGTCCACAAGTCCGGTCCTCAAGGACTCCCGTCCTGCAACTTTTAGATGCATCTCTGTTGAAACTCACCTTTATCGAATGACCTGCTCACTACCAGCCTATTGCAGAGCTGATTGGATGCTGGTGAGGGAATTCAGACATTCTGGAGCAGAGATGCATCTAAAAGCTGCAGGACGGCCCCCCTGCAGGACTGGACTTAGGGACCCCTGCTCCACTGAATACTGTACCGGATGATAGAATCACATTTCAAGATCATTTTCTGTAAGTTGTGGGTTTGCGACCATTTCTGCGTTTTTCTCTCCCCTGAAGTGACCGGTTTCCTCCCCTCCCCACGGCTGAGACGTTGCCGGGGGGTTTGAGCAGGAGAACGGATCTCTGAAGTTTGCTGCTAAACGCTTGTCCGAGTGATGGAAGAGTTACACCTGCATACGTCCTCTTTCCATAATTGTCTGGATGACATGTCTTTTTGGTGTTTGCTGGAGCTAAAAGCTGATCTGTTTCTGACGATTCTTTAATGTTTTGTACTTTTAAGCACCAGAGCAGTGAGTTCGTAAAGTCAGACTCAGCAAAATGGCTGAATGAAAATGTTTGCTTTCAAGATTGTTACCAAGTTTTTTTGGGGGGGCGGTTAACATATGGCGGCCATATTAGATTTTCAGAGTTTTTTTTTAGAGAAACCTTCAGCTCTCACTTTTATTCTGGGACTCAAGAGATTCATGGCTCCTGTTCATTTGTAAACTTCAAAGTGGGATGAATGGATGAAGAAAACTTTTTGTTTTGCTGATCGTTTTTGTGACTCAACGCATCAAAACCCAAATCTCGTTGGACTCTTGCTTCTAAAAATTTGGGAACCTTTTCCCGTTGACACCCTGAATGTGAATGACCAGCGGTTTCATCCGCTTCACTTTGCATCTGGACCAGTTGGCAGCTCCACATGTTTAACCTCTAAAAGTCCAAAAAAAAAAAAACGCAAACAGGCTTGCTTCTTTCTTTCTTTTTTTTCCTGCAAACGCTGAATACATTTCAGCTTTTATCAGGCTTGTTTGTTGGGGGGACAGTGGTGTCAATTGTGTTTCTGGCACTCAGAACAAACGATGTTTTATACCAAATGAGCAGAACTAAAGATTAAATGTTAGTTGGCCTTAAGCAAACTTTAGTTTGCAGACCACTGGCCAATCGACAGAAAGGCTCCTTTGTGCGCTGGAGGCCGTGACGTCAAAAGGCCTCTATAAAGACATAAATTCATAGTTTAATCCGGAACAACGCCGAGGTGGGAGGACGAGTCTCGATGTCCTCCTCTTGTTTCTTAACATGCATAGCTAATGAGGTTTCTTCCCAGGGTAAATAAAGCAGCGCCAACGTCGGCGGCCGTCAGATTTGTCGGACCCGTTCCGAGGCGACAGCGTGAAGGGATTAAAACCTGTTTTTTTTTGTTTTTTGCTCTCTCTGTTCGTTCTGATTGACGATCACAAAATGCTGGAGATGCTTGAATACAGCCACTATCAGGTGAGATAGTCATTTAATTTCTTCGATGACAAGTGAAATTTTTAACCCTCTCCAGGCAGATGTTGCAGATTTGCAACAGCTAAATGCTCCTTAGCTAGTCTTTGCAAGTAATTTGAGCCTGAGAGGGTTAAGCTGCCTGGAGATGTTTAAGAAATGGCAAAAAAAAAAAAATGCATTTAATGTGAACGGATGTTCACATTAAAGCAGAATGGGGAAGTGTTTTTGTGGACATGTGATGTCACCTAAAGGCTCAGCTGTGATGTTTTTGCTCCCTTCCCACTTAAGGTTATGAAAATGAAATTATTATACATTTTTCATAACATTTGTCATCTGAAATGTGGTCAGGAGTTTCCTTTAAATGGGTCTAAAAACTGAAACTGGAATTTTAAAGCTGGAAGCCTCTGTTGAACCCTCAATAAATCCATTTACATTCAGAAGATTTGATCAACAAATTGTCTTAATCTGGACATAAGCTGTAGCATTAAGAAGAGAAATGTCAAAGTGTTTTTGTTGTCGTCTCACAGGTGCAGTCCCACCTGGAAAGTCCGAACAAGTACCACATCCAGCCTGCTCAGAGGCAGCAGGTGAGGCAATACCTGTCCTCCAGTCTGGGCGGGAAAGCCGGCAGCCAGCCGCCCGAGCACAGCATGCCGCCCGGGGCCGCCGGCAGCGCCCCCAACAGTCCCATGGCCCTGCTCACCCTGGGCACCAACTGCGAAAAAGAAGTAGGAGCGTTTCTTCACGGCAGATGCCCCGACACAACGCGGGAGGTTTTCACCAAGCTGTTCTCTCTCTCACGCAGATGGATGACGTCATCGACGACATCATCAGCCTGGAGTCGAGTTACAACGAAGACGTCCTGGGGCTGATGGACCCGGCTCTTCAAATCAACAACCAGGTTGTCTTATTTTGCTGTGTTGGTTGTTTTTGTGGTTTTGTTTTTTGTTGGGTTTTTTTTACGACGACATATAAATTCAATTAATGGATGGAATACATTTCTGCCAAATCATTCGGACAGTGCTTTAGAAAAAACTTGGAAATTTCTGATTTTGAAAAGTTACAAAATTTTTTCCATGTAAAATCCAAGGCATTTTTCCCTTTTGAAATTCAGAAATTTTGGACGTTTTTCTCTATATTTTTTTTTTCTTGGTTTAAAAAGTCTCACACTTTCCAAATTTTCAAGTTTTAGAAAATATTCAGACTCTCAAAAGTCAAACATTTGCTAATAAAAATCTGAAATTTTGGGATGGATTCATTCATTTTCCACTTTTCAAATGCATAGCAGCCTAAACTCTTCCACTTTTGGAACTCAATTTTCGTTTTTGAGTTTTTCCTCTCTCCAATGGCTCTGAAACAAATTCTTAGCTTATTATTATTATTTCTTCCCTGAACAAAGCACTGACTCCTGTTTCCCCCTCCAGCTGCCATTGTCCGGTGGTTTACTGGACGTGTACAACAACCCGGGGCTTCCCCTGCCGGGCATCGCCATCGGCAACGCGTGCGCGCCCAACATCAAAAGGGAATTCACAGGTAAATTAATGAAGATCCAGACACAGATGGTGTTCATGCCGCGCTTTAAACACAGACTTTGGGAAAAACAAAAAGGCGACTGCAATGCTTTCATCACTGCAGCTCCCGGCATGAAGCAAGTCCTGGACAAGTCCGGATCCTGTGGCCAGTTTGAGAGCTACCAGAGGCCAGACGGCTTCCCAGTAGGTAAGAACCAAGAACGAAACGTTTTGTCATCAAATGATTTGTTTTGTGTTCGACTAAATTTAAAAAACAAACAAAAAATCCCTTACATTTACAAAGAGAAAAAACCCCCGCAGATAAACGTGAAGCCGAATTATTCCGACTTTCACGAGTGTTTCAAACGAACCCGGTTTGTTCAGACCGTCTGTTCTCCCCCCGCTGCTCCACAGAGGCTGAGGTTCGCGCTCTGGCCAAAGAGAGACAGAAGAAGGACAATCACAACCTGAGTGAGTCGATCGTACCCAAGCGACAATGAGATTCCCGTTTTGAACTTGTGCTGAACAGAACGGGAATGAAAACACTGATTCCTCTTTCTGCTCCTCCGTTCGGATGACTTGTAGTCGAGCGAAGACGGAGGTTCAACATCAACGATCGCATCAAAGAGCTGGGGACCTTGATACCCAAGTCCAACGACCCGTGAGTGACGCATTCGTTTTGTTCCACTTTTGTTGAACTGCTGATTTTATGTGACGGACCACATTTTTCAAAAATCACAAACAACCAAAAAAACAACAAGAAGTTTTTAATAAATCCAAACCTGAAAAGTGTGGCATGTGCTTTCCCTCTGGCGCCCTCAAATAAAATCCATGGCGACCGGCTCTAGGGGGAATGACCTCGTCGCTTGTCAACGAGAAAAGAAAGTTTAAAACGACAAGACGAAAAAAAAACCATGAGTTTGGTCAAAAAGGCGATTATCACCAGCTTGTTTTCACAGAAGCAGCGAATATGAACTGAACTTCCTGTTTCCTGCTTGTCCTGGAGGGACGGCTGCAGGGGGACGGTTCAGCCTGAGGGATGTCCACGTTTTGGTCTGACTAAATTTGATGTTTCTTAGCAAGAAGAAAGGACAAACAAACAAACAAACAAACAAACAAACAGTCTGTTGATGAGTAAACTCTAGGAAGGGACGCGGCTGTCAAGGCAACCAAGGGACGTTTAACAAAAGGTCGACGGTGGAGATGAAAACACATGAAGGCCACACATTTCAGATTGCCATTCTTTCTGTTTGTTTGTTTGTAAAAAAAAAAAAAAAAAAAAAAAAAAACTATTTTCCATCCCACCTAAATTTTCACCTACTCATCAAAATTCTGGACTGTTTTGTGTTTTTCCAGTGAAAAACAAGTTACAGTTTGTGGTTGTACTTAAAAAATGGCACCAAAAAAAAGAAATGAATAAAAAAGGAGAAAAAAAACATCAAATCACTTTTTTACTACAAATTATTAGGATTTAAGAAAACATTTAGAATTATAGAATATTCTATTTGTGAAAATGTATAAAATAATAATGTATGTCTCATAGTTTTAGTGGGAAACGTTTTTGTATGGAATAAATTATTTTAGTTTTTTATGGACATGCAAGCCATACATTTTAGGTCAACATTTATTTACTTATTCTTTCATTTTACATTATTTTCCCTGCTACTGTTTTGTGTCGGGTTCTGCTTGTAAAATGGTTCAAATTTGTTTCTTTACTGTTCTGAACACGCGTGCCTTGACATTTATCTATCTGCCCGTCCAGCCGCTTTGCTCCGTGTGTTCTCTTAAAAGCGCATGACTTATTGACCCGGCTGGTCCGTGAAGAATCCCGCCTTGTTCTGCTCGGCTGGTCAGCCGTCTCCTGTTTGTCTCCTGTGTTCCCCCAGAGACATGCGCTGGAATAAGGGCACCATTCTGAAGGCCTCTGTGGATTACATCAGGAAGCTGCAGCGGGAGCAGGAGAGAGCCAAGGAGCTGGACTGCAGGCAGAGGAAGCTGGAGCACACCAACCGCCACCTGATGCTGCGCATACAGGTGGGCCGGAGCCGCAACAAGCCGACCGCGACTGCGTGCTCGATTTGTAATCGAGGGCGGAAAAAGGATGAAATATAAATAAATCATTTTGTGCATAAAAAGTCACTATCCCACCGTAGAGCCCACTGAAAACCTCCTGATTGTTCCACCAAATACTGATTTCTGAACTCTGCCTGAGTTAAAACATCAGTTTTGTTGTTTTCTTTGCATTATTCGAGGTGTGACGGCACGGCTTCTTCGTGGTTATTTTGCCCGTTTCTCATTTTTTGCTAAAAAGTACAAAATTGTGTTGCTTGGAATTTCGTAGCCATGATGTCAGTAGTTCATAGAATCAAAAACAAAAAAAAACCTGTTCATTTTACTCAAACATGTACCTATAAAAATATATGGACGTAAACTTGTTACTGTAAATTTAATGTGTATTAGTGTATACACTTAAATACCACTCTGCAGTTCAAAGACCATTTTTTAGCAGTATGCTAATTCAATATTTTTTAAAGGATAAGAAGAAAATCTTTTTTTTTGCTCATCTTCCATGGATGGATGGATGGATGTTCACCATGCAGGCCATTAATTATCTGCTTCGTGTCGGTCCAGGAGCTGGAGATCCAGGCTCGGGCTCACGGTCTGACCATCGTGTCGTCCCCATCGCTCTGCACGTCCGAGCTGATGGCGCGGGCCATCAAGCAGGAGCCCGTCTTGGGGGACTGTCCGTCGGAGCTCTACCAGCACAGCTGCACGCCAGACATGTCCCCTCCGACCACGCTGGACCTCAACAACGGCACCATCACCTTCGACCACATGCCCGCCGACGCCGGCGACTCGGCCCACTACGGGAACTCCAGGACGTGTAAAATGAAGGAGCTGGTCAGGGACAACAGCCTGGGCCCGGTTTCCCCCAGCGACCCACTGCTGTCCTCCATCTCCCCCGACGTTTCCAACCCCGTCAGCAGCCGCCACAGCTCCAGCTCCAGCATGGAGGAGAAAGACCATGGATGTTAGCCCCACGCCGCGACGAGCGGCCGAGCGGGAGGAAGAACTGAGGTTGTTTTCTTTTCCAAGGAGATTTTTGAAAAAAAAAAAGAAACGTTTTTCAAATGATTGTTGTTTGATTATTACTTTGAACTTCTCAGAAATACTCGACAAACACCTGACATTCAAAACCTTGAAGTAGCCCGTTTAATATTCGACATCGTGTATTTTTACATTTCATCGCCTCTCTCCAAAAGAAACAAGCGCATTATAAAAAACACCATGTTGTTGAAATTATACGAAAGGGCAGAAATATGAGTGTGAAACATGTTTACACTCAACAATCACCCCATATTCAGGAAATAAATAGCTAATCCAATAATAAGCGTTTTTAAAAAGTTTATGTAGCATTTATTTATTGTTAAGTTGTACTCTTTTCCTTCTAGACATCTCGTTTTGTTTTTGGTCCATTCACACAATAATGGATCTGATTTGGTTTTGTTCAGAGTTGAAGCAGATTCTTCCGTCGCGTCTCCTCACCGTAAAATCTGAAATAAATCTAAACTTTTGACATAAAGGCACTGGAAAAAAAGTTTTTTCTTTTTTTGTTTGTTTGGACACATTTGCATCAAAGCTGTTGCCTGTTTCCCTTTTGGGTCACGATGAACTCTTGACCTTTGTGTGGCGTTCAGAACAGGAGCTCATCGAAAACGGCGGGAAAAACGTCCAATAAATGACCCGGCCGGATGCTCGACCAAATCCTGGTCATTTCTCCACCCTATAACCTGCCTGACATGTTCAACCCGACCAGGGGGTCGGATGAGAGACTAACAGGCTGAAAAGATTCAGAAACTTTGTCACTGTTCGTGTTTTGGCATACAGTGATGCCATAAGCAAAATAAATAAATAATTCAGAAAGGTCTTTCAAAGTGCTATTTTGACATGGAGTGCAAAATAATTCAAACCCCCTTTGAATTTGTCCACATTTTGTCACCACAAACGTATCGCATGTATTTCACTGCGACTTGCCAAAGCTGAGTGACTGAAGCAGAGGGACGAGATTCGAAAAGTCTCTTACAAATAAAGACCTGAAAAGGTGTGCGTTGCATTTGTACGCCCACCCCTACTGACACACACACCACACACAACCGTATTCAGCTCCGACCAAAAACAACCAATCAGAGCCAGGGGACGGGTCTTAGCGCTGTCAATCATCCTCGTGCTGATTGACAGTATGTGCTGACGGCAGAGAAGCAGCTTGCAGTTACAGGAAAGCTGTTTAATCTGCCGTCGTCGGTGGCCATGCTAACTAGCGTTAGCATTCATGAAGAGAAGCAGCACCGCAGCAGAGACTTGTCACTTCGCACTGATTGCCATTTGAACATGTCAATAATGTACCGTAACACGCCACAGCTACCGTAGGTTTAGATCATGTGTTGGTCAAAGTCCAAAGACCAAAATCTAATGAAAAACCTGAACCACAACGTGAGACCAGATGTTTCCAGATGTTGACGCGACTGACCTCTTTCCTGAAAGGTCAACACTATTAAGTGCTGAATACAAATTCATTCTCACATTTCTGTTTTTATTCATGACATCACATGCATGAAGTGGCTATTTATCTCTAGTCTAAAACCAGGGGAAACATGAAGAGGTGGAAAAAAATAATACATCTGAGTCTAATAAAGAAGTTTCATAATATTTTTACTAAAGTGAATAAGTGATGAACCGTGTCTGAAGTCATTCATGAATGTAAACAGCAGGTGGTGCCAACTTTACACCCAGAGAATTCTTCACTCAGCAGTCAGTGGTGGAATCGGCCCGACAACAGAGTTAATTGAGGATGTTTCCTAAATTTATGTTTTGGTTTTCATGATTTTTTTTTTTTTTTACTTGTCAGTCATTTGGAAAACACCATTTGGCCGAGAAAGAGGAAGTAAAGACAAAGTCAGTAGTCATGACTAAAAGTCTGAGTGTTTCTGCAGCAGTGAGCCTTCAGTATTTCCTCACTGTGTCTTTTGCGCAGAGATGCAGCGAACACGCTGCAGGTGCCACTGCTGTCCGCCAGAGGGCAGCATCACTCCTCTGTGGGTATAACTGACTTCTACTGTAAATATGCATCCAGGGTCTCTGCTTGTATTTTTTTTTTTTCTGCAAATATTATGTCGTCATTGGCGAAAGAAATGAGCCAAAATAAACCCGGTCATTTCCATAATCATCTTTACATCACATTCGCTCAGTGTCATCGTCGTGCATCTGGGTCATTTTTAACACCGTGCTGTTATTTATTTTGCTCATTTTCAACACCTATAGTACACTGAGTGCACCGCATCGAAAATGGCCAGAAACGTCTCAGTTATGTCCCTTTTGCTCATTTTCACTGTCAGCGTAAAACCTTTTCTTTTTTTGTCATGTGTTTTAGTATGTAAAAGAATTGGAGAAAATTCAAATTTCCTGTAGAAGCAAAAAAAAAAACAAAAAACAAAAAAAAACAAAAGGGGTGATGTACTGTAAAAAAAGTTAATATATATGTGTGTGTGTGTGTGACTCATTATGTCATATATTTTTTGCTTGTTGAAAACTTTCAGCTCTTGAAACCAAACTAACGTGATTAATCTAAAAAAAAAACCAATGTCTGAGTTGTTTTGGCAGAAATGTACTCCCATAGTCTCTCATGCCCCTAATGCCACATTTTACTTCCATTTCTGGTGGCTGAAGAACCTGAACTCTTCATGAAGCCATCATGACCCACAGACAGTTCAGCTGCCCTGAAGCTGCGCTAACAGTTTGGGCTGCAGAGTTTTGCACAATCGCCAGGAAACAGAGGCGGCCTAATTCAACCCCAGAGGTTTTAGGCTCCGCGTTCTTATTCCGATCTAAGCACCCTGGAAAAGTGTCACCGAACGGCCCCGCTGGGACTTGGAGCCCCACAATCACGGCTGCTGAGTCTGCGCTAATTGAGCGAGCGCGACACAGATGCTCCCCTCCCGGCTGGAGGGAGGAAGCAGAGTTCCCCGCTTTCCTCCAAAAACGATCCTGATTGGTTTAGAAGCAGGCGCTGCACGAAGTGGAGGAACGACAGGAGCCAAACGAAGAGACGATTTTTATTACTGTTAAAGTCATCAAGTCAGTCAAGGAGTACATTACAGAGCTTTACAAAAAGAATAACTAAATATGCAGGATGGGAGCGGCGGGTCGATTCCTGGCAGAAACACCACGTGAACAGTAACATCTGTCGGAGCGTGAACACAGACACGGGGAGAAACATGTTGGGGAGGGGAAAGCAGTGCTCCAGAGTGTAACGGTGTTTATTTCACATCAAACACGTTTCACCGTCATCCAACGCCGTCAGAAATATTTCTCTGATAGTTTCTGATTCAGGCTCTGAGGGATTATTTACCTGGCAAACATATTCACCACTCATCCCCCCTCCCCGCCTCCGTCCTGGGAACTTATTCAGATTTTCTCACGTTTCAACCTTAAGATTGTGAATTGTTGGGTTTTTAAGAGTCAGACCGACATAAAGTTGTGAAGTTGTACTGGAACGCTGTTTGAAGTGAAAACTGTGGAGACGTTTCGCCTGGCAAGGTCCACAAAATCAGAAAACCTTCAGGAAACACATTGTCATCTCTAGAGTGCTCCTGCAAAACCATTTTCAAGGTTCTTCTATGTTTTTCTACGCCCGAGTCTCCCAGGGTTAAAACCAGAGAAGCCGCCGATAGTGACTTTGGAGGAGCTGCACAGGTCCACAGCTCAGGTGGGAAGGTTGAGACGACTTTAAGTTACACTGAGTGTGGAAAGAAGAAAGAGACAAATCGTCCTATTTGAAATGTGTGACGCGCCAGAAGAAAACCAGAAACGAGTCACCAGACAACAAGCAGAAAAAAAAACAAGAGAAAAATAGTTGAATTTCTCTTAATACAGTGATTTTTGCTTTACTGCTAAATCATAAATATTCCATCATCTGCTTTAAAAAGCAGCTTCAGAGATATTAAAACGGTCAAATTTGTGTTTTACTCAGAGTAATTCTGAGCTGTTTTACAGTAAGATTAACATGCCGGACATCATTGGCTATTCACACGCTTTTTGTTTTTGATTTTGGCCAATAAGATGAACATTTGACAGGAACGTTGTGGGAAAGCATCGACTCCACACTTTGTGAATCTGTAAAGAATTTCAAACGCCTCTCGGGGAGATTTGTTCACCTTCATCAAAAGCTATGTGGAGGTCACAGCAAACATAGCTTTTGTGGTCTCTGTTGACGGTTAACAGTTTTCCTGCATTAGCACGTACACAAGCTTGATTGACAGCGCTCAGACCTTCTTCCGGGCTCTGACTGAATGTTTCTGTCTGGGGAGGAGCTTCGTTTTTTTCTTTTTCAAACACTGTCCGTCTCTTAACGTACATAACGTTGTGGCATATTTTTTTGTGACATTTACGTACTGCAGTTAGTTCTTAGAAAATCCGTCGGGTTTGAGTGAAGCTTCGGGACTTTGAGGACCACAGACCACAAAAAAAACCCCAAACAAAACAATTGTCTCAATGTCTAATAAAACACAATAAAAATTCTGGTTTAATGTGAGAAAAAGTGAAAAAGTTCACGGGGTTTGAATATGTTTGCAAGGAAGCATTAACATAATGAAACACGCGGTGACATAATGACCAATCAGATTCAATAAAATAAAAAAAAGATGTTAAATAAACTGTAACTTGAGAATCTATTATATAAAGCTAATAATAAGAACAGTAGCCTGTTTAATTCAAAATGTACATTTTCATCAACATTCAGATGTATGTACACTTTTAACAATCAAAGTGACTGCGTGTGTGTGTGAGTGTGTGCGTGTGTGTGACATCACCTATTAGATATAAATGAAGGAATCTGATCATTGTACTGACAGGCTGCTCTCTTTCTGTGGCCGACGGGGGGTAAAACATTTTCAGTGTGTGTCAGAACAGGCCACCCACACACACACACACACACACCACACACACACATGGACGCACATTTATCTGACAACAACCTTATGCCGGAGGCTGTGTGTGTCGGTGACGCCGCCGACGGTCGGGGAGGATCACAGACTCCTGCTAAAGGTCACGTGGATCGAAAAGGACACAAAGAATCACAGTTTGTGCAGCCAGTCAGATATTGCTCCTTTTTTTCCCCTTTGTGTTATGATCACAGAGATCTGGACATGTTGCTCGATATTATTAATGCTCGACTGGACTAGAAAACGTGGTTCTTATTGGAACACAGTGTCCCTCGCAAGTTAATAGGTGCCTGTTGTAAAGATGAAATATCACATGGACAAAGTTATAGGGAAAAAAAACCCACATTAGAAAATAAATGAATGATAAAAACTAAAAGAAAAAAATATTGGAAGATAAATAAACCAATAAAAGAAAAAAGAAAAATGTCAGAAAATAAATAAGTACATCTAAACAACAAAAAAAAACTATAGAAAAATAAATGTTACTAAAATGAGTCTTTAAAAAAACAATTGGGAAATAAATAAAATTAGGGGAAAATAATCATATAAAAATGGAAAAAAACATTAGAAAACAAATTAATTAAATAAATTGAAAGAAAAAAAAAATAAATCTACAATTATTGAACTTCTTTCTTATTAAAACAAAGAAAGAAATGGAAGACAAACAACATAGTTAACGAATAAATAAAATTGAAAGAAACAAAGAAAACGGTGAGAGAGAGAAAAAAATTGTGTGTATTTATTTACTTTTTTAAATACACTATGTTTTGTTTTTAACAAAATAACAAGCGTCTCACTCATTGGTGGTTAAAGAGGTGGAAAGAAACATCCCAGGATCCCTGTTCGAGAATTAGAGGCATTTCTAAAAGTAAATGTTAAATATAAATCTGGTGGCTTCCACTAAATGCCTAAAGGTGGATCATGTGCAGCAGGACAAAGTGTTCAAATGTGGCTCGGTAAACCCAGAAGTGGTTCGACACACATAAAGTCTTCACAGCTCACCTCACATTGCTGTCGGGTGAAAAGAAGAGATCATACTGAAGGAAGATCTCTGTCTGTCTGTGCCGATCTTTGAATGTGAAAAGACGCTCCGCACCATCCGGTTGGAGCTGCAGGGAGTCTGCGAGATGCTGCGACAATGCTAATTATGTATCTTTATTTAAGGCTTTTTGCACATCTTTCCCAGGACTGTCAATAAAAAAAAAAAAAAAAACAATGAAGGAAAACGAGTAACAAAAAGAAAAATCTGGATGGAAAAAAAACCCTTTCCCTCACATTCGCCTGGTTAATGCTTTTTTTCCTTTTTTCTTTTTTTAGAAATTATTTTACAGTTTCAGCCAAATATTAAGACATGTGCGGCTTTTTTTTTTCCCTTCGATTCAGCGTCAGAACACAAATGTCAGGATCAAGTAAAAGCAACGAGGCAAGCGGAGAAAAAACGGCTGACATCGGCTGATTGAAGGCGTCGGGATGTGGCGCGTTGAGGAAAACAAACAGGTATTGATCATTTCGATGCAGAAGAACCGCTATGCATTCAGAACCGTGCTGGTCCTGCTGCGACCACACGGGGGCGGTGAATGTGCCGCAGCCGGCGCGCTCTGTGGACGACGTAGCTCTCTCTACGAAGTGGGAAACGACGCATGCTGTTTTTAGCTACTTCTACAAAGGTCTCTATGTACAGGCTCTTTACAGTTCACAGCCAGGAGATTCGTTCCCGAGCAAAGGAAACATGGCGTCTGTGTGCTTACGTGTGAAGCTGCCTCGTTCAAAGGTGCAGAACCGGGCGTAAGTCAAGAACTCCCAGTGGACGGTGAGAGAAAGTCAAGACCCTGAAGGAGTGGACAGGTACAAGTATTTCCCACATGGAAAGAAAACACACATTATGCCATGAAGAAATATTCACACCCTTTGATCATTTCCTCCGGTTGGAAACATACGGAGCTAAATTGTGACCATTAAGTTTGTTTGATTTTTGTGTTTTCTTCCCCGCCAACTTGAAAAAAAATGATTTGAAAGCTGAAAAATTTTTGAACATAAAAAAATTTTGAAACTGAAAAGTCTTCAAAACGCCTTTCCAGATTCAAGATTTTGAAACTCGCTAAATCATTTTGAAGATGGAAAATTATTTTGAAACTGGCCAAAAAGTTCAAAACAACATTTGAGATTAAATATTGTTATCTATCAATTTCAATTTATTATTTTTTTCAAAGCTACTTTATGGCCACAATTTAGCTCCAGACAAACACAAACTCATCCAGTTGGGATTTTGTTTGGAATTTTACGGAGCAGAAAAGATTACGTCATCCATACAAAGTCCAGACTACGCAAGACTTAAAACTGGAGTCCAATTCAACTTTGAGCAGAAAAATGACACTCAACAGAGAGGAGATCAGAACAAAGCGTGTCTGAATGGTCTAGTCAAAGTTGAATCCAGTTAATGTTAACAGATGCTCACTGGTCAGTCTGACTGAGCTTTTGCAGATTTTCGATGTAGATATTTTGAAAGGCATAATGACTTCCCGTCGTATTAGTTGTGTATTATTTCACTCTGATTTATCAAACAAAATCCACTGCAGTTTGTAATGATGAGGATCTGGAACAGTTTGAGGGTATGAATGTTTTTCCAGACCTTCCTCCCTGTGTTTTGTTGGTTAGTACGGTGGCCTACAGGGAAACATTTCTGCAATTTCTCCCTTGTCAGCTTATTAAGCGCTAATCAAAATCCGTTTTAGTACAACGTTACTCATTTATTTACACTCTCATTGCGATTTGTGTTGGCAGGCTTTAGGTGTGAGCCAACGGCTTGACAGTTGAACTCTGTAAAGCTCAAGTTTGAGACACATTTGATTATTTAACAAGAAAGCGCTTCGCAGGTTAGAAAAAACAGAAAGGCAGCGGTCAGGGAAGGCAGCACACAACCTTCATGAGATGATGCTAATGCTGCAAGTGAAGAAGAAGCAGAGTCAGTGTCACCATGCTAGCAGCTAATGTACAGTGTGCAGGAGGAGAGTTCGCACCGGGCCGGTACCGTGGGGGGGGTTGGTGGGCGGGGCTTTAACCCTGCTCATCCATCGCCTCGCCCGCCATGTGAAGCGCAGCGGTCACTTCGCCGTTGCAGCGTGACGTGGGCTCGGCCGCCTGCGGCTGCGGCTGCGGCTCCCCGGCCGGGGCCGGCGCCTGTTGGCTCCTCTCCTCTCCGGCGGCAGCAGGAGCGCCGTCGGGCCCGGCCGCAGGCGAAGGCGCTGAGGGGTCGGCGGAGGCCGTGGGGTCAGCAGCTGCTGCCGGGACGGCGGGTTTCAACTCGCTCTGCTCAGGCGCTCTCAGTCTCTTCATGATGGTGGTGACTCGCACAGCTTTCTGAAAGAGGAAGAAGGGGAAGTTTTTACACACATTCACAAGAAAATACACGTATCCTTTTTTGTTTTTTTCCTTAAGCGTGTCCTGTCCGGCATTGTGGCTCTCAGAACGGTTGTCAGAGAGTCAAACGCTTTTACTTTCATAAGCATTACGGCTTTTTGCCATGACACTCCACTTAATATGCATGTATAAAACTTTGGTAGAAATTGCTTTGAGTTTATGTCAAGTGTAAAACACGGAGATGGAAAAGAAAGAGAAATGCCAGGAAAGACTTTAAGGGACATGAGGAGACATGCATAGAGGAGAGAAAGAAGCGTAGAGAGAACACAAGCAAACACCTTATTGGTCCGACTCCAAACCTGCAGAAAGAGAGAAAAGAAAACAGAGAAACCATGGCAACAAACAAACATGTGGACATGCAGGTCCTTCAGAGTCACCAGGGACCTCTTGGCTCTCTGTGCAGCTCCAGTCAGCAAGGACGGCCGTGTCCTCTGAAGAGAGATGCTGTCTTTGTGTAGGATTAGAGTAAATGTGGCTCAAGAAAAATGAGCGCTGCTGATTTCTTTTTGCAAAATATGTCCTTTCCTTTTTAGTGAAGAGAATTAGGGCCAAAGGAAAAAGATATATATGTATTCTGACTTTAATCTTCTGAGAAGAAAGTCAGAAATTTGAGGAAACAGAAGTCTGATTTTTTTTTCTTCCATCAGTGGTCCTGATCATCTTCCACCATCGTTCTCGCTACTTTGTTTTGCTCGTTCAAATAAAACTCCAGTATTGCTGCAGCATGCGGAGACTTTAAAGCAGTGCGAAAGCTGCGGGGAGGCGTCGTTTCAGTGGTTCTCTTTAAATTCGCAGCGACCAGAAGTGAAACCTGAAATGCCTTCAGCTTGTGGAGGAAGAGAACAAAAGGGCTCACCTTCCATTTAGCTCTGGCAAAGTTCTTCTCTATCTGCGCACACACGTTTTCCTTGATGTTCTTATCTGAAGCTGCGCCACCGGAGATCCTGCAGAGGAAAGAGGATAGAAAACGACACTCACACCAAACACAAGCTGCAGATTGCTAAGACTCTTTCATAAACATGGGATATTTCAGTGGTTTTCTTTCGGTGCAGTCATGGGAGGTTGTAATATCACTAAAGGGTTGCTGGAAATGCCTCTCCAGTACAATTAAACAGACTGAGGGACAATCTGTTCGAACTGTTCAGGAAAATTTATCTTCGTTTTTATTTTTTTTGTTTAAAACCTCCTGAGAGATTTTTTAATCATGTCTAGCACGCTCAGTTCCCGGCACTCTGATTCAGTCTGCACGATATATCAAAACGTCCTCCGCCTACCATTCATGGTTTATGGCCTCCTGGGCCGTCAGCCTCTGGTCTTGATCCACCTCCATCAAACGAGCAACCAGGTTCTTAGCTGTCAGAGGGAAGTGACGAGGAAGGAAACGCAGTGAGAAAAAGGGTTTTACTTCCTGACGGCATGGCAACACGACCGTAACCGCTTTGAAAAGTCAACAGGAAGGAAGGCAGGAGTGTGTGAAGTGTGTGTGTGTGTGTGTGTGTGTGTGTGTGTGTGTGTGTGTGTGTGTAGGAAGCTGCCACTGAGAGAACCTGAGTCGGAGATTTCATCCCAGTACGGAGAGTCGAACTCATAGTCGCCCGCCAGGATCTTTCGGAACAGGTTCTTGTCGTGGTTTTCGTAATCGTCGTCGTCGCTTTCGTCGTAGAATGGAGGGTTGCCCGACAGACTGTGGTAAAAAAAAATGAATAAAGATTAAAAACGGTGGGGGTCATGAAACCTTTGTGAGATATACCGACCACATTTGAGAACGTCAATGTAGAGATAGATCAGGCCAGTACTGATTATTAGTTATCATCATTATCAGAAGTGATTTATTAGTTCATGTGTGTGATTTTATATTTCTATCATGTTCGAAGTAAATAAAATGAAAGCATTTCTTTTTTTATGCCTGATCTAGTAATTCTGATGTTAAAAAAAACATTTTGTTCCAAGAACATAAAAAAATAGAAAAATCATAGAGCAGGTTGTTTGACAGAGGTGATAATTTTAAATACAAATACAGACTTTTTCCATTTATGCATCAAATCTAAGGTCCAAAATTAGACTTAAATTTATTTCACGCACAGCTTTGTATCTGGGAAAATAAATAAAATACATTTTTATGCGTTCTGACCTGACCTTAATAAAAAATAATTCACCAATATATCAACGTAATTGCTTCGACATGAGTCCAAATTGATATAATCTTGGGTTTTAACAACTTTGCATAATCAATCAATCAGTTAATCAAATTTTATCTGTATAGTGCATTTCAGGAACAAGGCAGTTCAAAGTGCTCCACATCGTAAAAATACAAAAATCGACAATTGAAACATTACAGTATAACAGGCTGTCTAAAAGTACTTCAGTCTGCATGTCTGTCCACACAAATGAGCCTCATGGCATCATGTCTAATTCCTAACAGGAAGTTAGGTTGGTTTGAAGCAATCTGATTGGCTGACAGGTTTTAGCTCTGTGCTCATGTTTGGCATGTTTAAGACAACATTCGGGGAAGGCATTTGTTTGGGTTCGTGTGGATGGAAACCTTTCTGAAACACGAAATAACTTCTTCTCAGCAATATGGCGGATATATTTATTTTTCAGAAATACTCAGCTGTGTGTGAACGAGGGCTTATATAATCAGACCTGTTAGATTTAGGTCTTAAATGATTTTTAGTCAACACAGGAGTTTGTTTTTTGTAAAAAAAAATAAATAAATCAAGGAAGAAAAAAAAAATCTTGTTTACATTTTATTAAGTAAAAGGCACATAAAAATACTAGGTCTTACAGTATGTACATGATGACACCTATGGCCCAGCAGTCCACAGGCCTGCCGTACCGCTGCCTGCCGACCACTTCAGGGGCTGAACAGGAAAAAACACAAACATCATCAATGACCCAGAACCTTTCGCATTAAAACTCTTGAAAATGAGATCTGGATCTCAACGGGCTTTACCTGGTTAAATAAAGGAAATGAAAAAATAAACCCATATCATGATCTCACCCAGGTACTCTGGCGTCCCGCAGGGGTCTTTGATCAGCCCGTTCTCCAGCTTGGCCAGGTGGAAGTCGCTGATGACGATTTTGGAGTGCTTTAGACGGTTGTAGTACACCAAGTTCTCCAACTGTGGGTGAAGAACAAATCACAAAAAGTCACACGCTCACTATGTGTAACGAGTAAAATGTATTTTTTTTGTGGAGAATCCGAGTAACTCAATGACAGAAAAATAATCTGTTTTAATTTGAACTTCATTATAATTCAACTTTGACACAAAACCTTAGAAACACTTAGAATCCGTCAAATCTGCACAACATTCACGGCTTTGCTCACAATCCTTGCAGGATATGAACTCATTTTCAGACTGTGCTTGAAGAGTGTTGTTAATTCTGTCAATCACCCCAGTGTACGCACTGCTCCTGCTTGCTCTCTGCTAGGCTAAGCTACAGCTAGTCTGTCGTGAGTGCGAAGACTAGTTATCATGACCACAGACGACTTCAGATAAACATCTTTGCTGTAACAGTAAGATGAGAATGTGCGTACACGTGTGTGATTGACAGCACAGAGTCCCTCCTCCTAGCTCTGATTGGTTGTTTTTGGTCGGGAACGGTTCATCTCTTTCCTCAGGGAGGAGGTGGACGAGATCCGTCTTTTCAGATGATGTGTCCCATGTTATAATGTCACAACATGGTGACGGCTTTAACAAAAACCTTCCCTTACGAGGCTGACGATATGTAAAGCATATAATGTTTACAGCATTTACATACTGCAGCTTTAGGAATATTTTCATGTTTCATGTGAAAACTTGCGAAAATCTTGCCTTATAAATAATAGCAATAAAATATGTAAATATGAATCAGTTACATATGCCACCTGGTAATAATTGATACCATTAAGAGTGAGTCTCTCAAAAACCGTTCAGAGGGCCACAAATGGCCCCTAAGCCACACTTTGACCACCCCATCGTTGGACGCTACAAACATTTAAAAAAAGTAGGAGATTATATTTTCTGCATTGCAGTTCTTGAGTTTGCAAGTGTTTGCTGAAAAATTGCAAAATCTTACCAAGTATTTTTATCCAGTTTCACATAAAATAAGACAAAAGTACAGGTAACTTTTTAGCAAGATATAGGAGCTTGTTTTAAGTCAATGATGTGTTAATATTGATGAATAAGTTCTAATTCCACTGTCAGATTATTGACTTAAAACAAGACATTATTCCCATGCCACCAGAGAAATAATCTGGCAGTGGAATAAATATGTTATTATGAATATTAAGGAATTACTCACTTAAAACAAGCTTCTATATCTTGCTAAAAAGCTATTTGTAGGTTTGTTTTGTCTTATTTCAAGCGTGAAGAAATGTCTGCATTAGAAGCCAAACCAAAAAAATAAAAAAATGTGGAGCTGGTACCTTCAGGTTCCTGTGGACAATGTGCAGGGAGTGCAGGTAGGCCACGGCCTCCAGGACCTGCCGCACCACGTTGCTGGTGTCCCGCTCCGAGTAGTAGCCCTGGTCCAGGATCCAGTCAAACACCTCTCTTCCTGTCGCGCTGCAGAGAGGCGGGCAGAAAGAAAAATAATAAAGGCTTTGCTCATTTCTGCAAGCTCGCTGCATTTTGCTTCACACGTTTTTTTTTCTCTTTCTTCTTCAGTTCATTTGCCGCTCAAAAACAAAAGCAGCAAAGTCAAAGAAAATCAGACAGAAAATGTGAGAGAAGCTCCTCATAATTCAGAGAACTCGGAAAAACTGACTTCAGCTCCGAGAAGGTATTTCTGTCTTTCTAAGAACGGGGGATCGTCCACGGGGTGAGTGATAATTATCACTTCCCCATGGATGACTCTTGTTTGCTGAATTTTTCAGCATAGCCAAAAATCCCTCGGGTCTTCTCAGTGGGAATCATTCGTTTCCACATTTAGAATTTCCACAGAAATGCACCCAATTCCCAAAACCGGGGGTGGGAGAGGAGAACGGGGCAACCGAAGCGATCGCATCTGAATACCAAATGATGCGGAGCCAAGTGCCGCTCTCGGAGTCCGCTCGGGCCCCGAGCAGCACCGGCCCGTTCCCCCGGGAGCGCTCCATCTGCAGAAGCGGCTCGGTGGGGGTGAGAGGCGAGCTGGAAGCCTTTCATTCCCCACATCACACGTCTAAACTCACAGCTCCAGGAAGAGGAAGTACTCCTTCTTGGTCTCGAAGACGTCAACCAGCTGGAGGATGTTGGGATGCTTCACCCTGAGGAAGGTAGAAGGCAGGGAGAGACCGATGTCATTCGACAAGCCGGAGCAGCAAGGCGAGGAAACCGCAGTTCATAAATATAATTTGCAAGGTTTATTATTCAGCAGAAATGTTTTTGCTGATCTCCCTGGCACGAAGCGGCTCCGCCTCGCCTGCGCTACCGAGAGCAAACGGAATAAAAAGTTGTGTTTGTCTCTGCCGCCTCTCCAGAGGTGACAAGCAGTTTCCTTCGTGAGCGCAGAAGGAGATTTAGACGCACAGCGGCTGAGTCCTCAATGAACCCAGAGGAGTTGGGACATTTATGCTGCGCGTCAGCCCCGATTGGTTCACTGATTCATAACTTCTTGATTAAAAAATAAAGACATTTTTAAAAATTGCAACTTTTTTCATTTCTCACTTGTATAAATTTATGTGCTGCTGAGATTTCATCAAACAACTACAAAGTAAGAGCTCTGACAACAATGTTAGATACTTCTAGCTTTTCAAAATGTTGGAACAATTGATTGTCTGCTTTGTGATGAATGTGTTCTTTTTTTTCCTTGATTCGTTTTGCTTCACTTACTTTTTCCCCCCTCAATAGTAAGGACTACCTTTTGTTTCAAAATAAAAGACTTCCAATGGTGCTGCAAAATCAACAATTGTAGGCCATAGGAATGTGTCCATGTGTTCCCAAAGTCTTCAGAAAGAGAGAACAACGCACTTATCATTTGTCACCAGCAAATAGTTCAATAAGATTATGCTAAAGCAGGATTTACTGGAAGCCAGATAATCAGAAAAACCGATTTAGATTTTTAAAAAACAGTTTAAATGTTGACTTTTTCAATTTGAGCTACGTTTTCTATTCACTTTTTATTATATTGCTTAAAGAAAAAACAACAATTTGACAAAGCTTAACACCGTCCCCTCCCCCTCCCAAAAAACTTACATCTTCAAGATGAGGATCTCATTTTTGGCCGCCTTCCGGACTTTCCTCCCGTCTTTCTTCAGGAATTTCTTACACGTGTACATTTTTATGGTGGCTTTGTCCTTGGCCCTGAAGATCTCACAGAACTCCTCCCTGAAAAGAAGCGTTAGGTGGTATAAAGCACCGTTCAGGTCTCTACACCACAATAAGGCCGACTTAAAAGATACTCACGACTTGACAATCTGACCCAGGTCATATTTATCCGTCACGTCCGAAGGATTGTGGTATTCCTTCTTTTCCCCAACCGTTAAACAGCCAAATGGCATGGCCACGCCCGACCTGGGATGGCAGGGAGAGAGGCAGAAGACGGGAAAACCTCAGAGCCTCCAGCTGCATTGTGACACTTTGGATGATGACTTTGCAAGAAAAAAAACAACAGATTTTTTCTCTGCTTTTGTGCTCAGAACGCCATCATACGACGCAGGCCACCAGAGGCAGTTTTAATGCAGCATTTTGTCATATTTAACTTTCTGTAGCCAAGCTTTCCATAATCCTGTAATGTTAAAAAAGAAAGAGGGAAAAAAAACAGAAAACGCAAGAAGATATCGGCGTCAGCGGCTCGGCTCTGCGCCGTCATCTTTTCCTCAAAGCGATAGCCAGACAAATTTCTCTCTGCGGGCAGACAGCGAGAAAAGTCGGTGAGCGGGAGCCGCAACAAAGCATCCTAGTGTTTCTACTACTGCATTTCTAAACAACCAAGAACAATACAAGCACAGGGACAGATAAAGAGATGTTCATCAGTCAGAAATCAGTGAATCACTGCTGCAGTTCGTTAAAATTTCTTCCCAGACTCTCTGAGCTGCTCTCCTGAAGGAACGCGGGCGGTTCGCTGCATGTCGTTTTACTGATTCGTACCTTCATCCTAATCTTGTTTCTGTCGGCCATTCTGTTGCTCTGCTTGGGATCTTTGTTCTGCTTGTGACCCGGTTTTCATAAAGCTTCCTAGAGTTGACTCTTGGAAACTTTAGCATCCAGAGGAGTTAATGATCCAAATCAAATCAAATCTCTTAACTGACCCGTCTTTGAACTTCTAACTTGCAAACTGAGATCTGGAGCCTGACCATGGTTACTCTCCGACTAGCCGTGCAAATTCTCTTTCTCTTTTTACATCTGTTATATTTTTGACAAATACAAAAAAGTAAAATAGTCAAAGTTCAAAAGAAAATCTGAGAGTCCGTATTAAGACTGATACTCAGAGAAACTCTCTGTCCAATCCGGCTGAGTTTATAAAGTGCTTGCAAAAAACAATCTCAAAGGGGCTGAATACAAATCCATGCCGCACTTTTCAGTTTCATTCTTCATTTTACTTCCACTTCACCGTCATGTTGCTTCCTCATATCATGTACGAACTGCACCAAAATTCATAGTTCCAACATGGGGACATTTCCGGTACAAACACATTTGATGTTACAGATCAATTAAATATTAACATATTTCAGTCCTTATTATTCGCATCCTTTATTCCACTTCTCCCCCACAGTCCTACATGCCAGGTGAGGTTTGCTCTTATTACGTCTTCCAAGAAAATGTTTTTATTTTATTTTATTGTTCTTACAATTATTAACAACATACTTGCTACATGTTGTTCATGCACTGAAAAAAGTGATTTTTGCGAGTGTTAAATATGATCCATAAAAATGAGGTAAATTTTAATGTATTTTTTCAGGTAGCCAATGATTGAAGAAATGTTGGGTAATTTCTACATGTGCTACCCATTCGTTAACATTAAAAACTATTAGATAGGAAATTACAGTAAAATCTACCCCGATTCTTAAGTCCGGTGCTCCAAAGTTGCGCATGCGTCAGACCGCGTTTTTGAAAGAGAAGCGGGACAAGGAACTCTGGATCCTCTCTGCCATCGAACCGGGAGCTGAAGGTAAGATATTAATATAGTTGTTCTGTGAATGATAGCACGAATGCAAATTCTAACATTACAAATGATTAGATACTTCACTTATATTCGATGTGCATCTCTGTAACATGCCAATACTGTACATCAAAATTTGAATTTTTCCATGGCGCCAACATGGCTAACTGTCTGGACAACAACAGGTAGTTTTAATTTGTTTGCAGTGCTTTTGAGATTAGCCAGCATGCATGACTGTTTGTTACCGCTGGTTTTAAGGTTAGAAACTAGTCTAACGCTAACGCTGAACTTTTGCCCGTGTGGTTAAGTTGTAACGGTCGTTAAGTATCTGCAGGTCTCTGCTCCCACGTCACGCTGCACCGAGACACAGGCACAAATAATTTGCTGAACAATTCATTAGTGTATTTTCGCCGCACATGAGAAGTTCCGTCTTAAAATACTAATAGTAATATGTCGCCAACATATGAAATGCCTGCCGTGTTTTATATTGTTGACCTGTTAGCTCCGGTAGCTAACATGGCTGCTGGAGAGTCGCTCTCCGCCGCGGTCTGTTTAAAAACAACGTGATTTTCTCTCCAGTTCACCTGCATGTCTGCGTACGTGTGTCTATGTTGTGAAAGTTTAGCGTTACTTCTCATAGTTTTATAATTTTTCTTCCCATCAAGAAACATTCATGTGAAGACTATGAGATCTGGTTTTTCATTTAAAATTTGATTTTTGTCCTTTTATGTCCTAGATCAAGGAAGAGTTCAGACGTATCGACAGTTTCCTTGGAGGAGACATTCATGCTAAAGCTTGATGAGAACACACCAGGTCTTCTGCAGCTTATGCTGCTAAACGAGGGGCTGCTGGTTCAAAGATGCACCTTCTGCTGGACACTTTAAATGACGTATGTTAATTTTTTTTTCCAGAAATATGTCATTATTGATATACTTAAATTAAAAATGGAAATAATTTGTAAAGAGTTGCTTTGTTGTGCACAAAGTTAAGCTCCTTACCAACTTAGTGTGTGTAAATCTCTCCCCACTCTCCACTAACAGTCTTTTCACTAAATTGCATCTCCCTACAGCCACAGAGCATTGAGGAAAAAGGGATACAGTTGTCTGCTGCCTCATTAACTACTTTGGTGAAAGACAAGAAGATCTTTTCCATGATTGCCAGGTATGTCCTTGAAAACAGATGATCGATTAACTCAAGGGATCCTCTTCACTCCTTTTCCTTCTTTCATCTTGTCTTTCTATCTTCTGATCACTACCCTCTGCTCTCCTTTAGATATGTTGAAATGTATGGAAAAAGCATCTTCAATAAAATTTTAAATGTGTATCTTTTTTGATTATTTTTAACATATAGGAATGTGAGGACTACACAGACAAAACAATGACGGTGATCGTGATGCACAACATCATGGCTGAGGAGGATCCATCAGACCAAGTGATGGAAGGATGTGGAAGCCGAACAAAGGCATGTGTACTGCTGATGGGACTCATATTTGCCCTGAACCTGGACTATCCAAAGCAGCTCAAGAACACATTTGAAGCTTTTCAAAAACTTTTTTTGGAAATTGATGGGGCAAAACTACTGAAGAAGGTCCACAGTCTGAAGAACAAGCTCAAGGCATACATTTTCCGTCCTGTTCCAAGAGGATCTTTTGTCTGGACAGAGTTTTAAGGTAGTATAGCTTTTTTTATTAGTGTTCTGTTCTGTCCTCTGCTCCACACACAGACACAGACATATATGTGGATACATAAGTACGTTGCAGCCTCTCTCAGCCCACTCCATTGTTCTCTGATTTCTGAAAATGGAAAAACAATGTAAACTGGACAGTCTGGTCATTAACACTGACTGAATTCTGACAAATTTAAAAATCACCTCTTTCCCAATTTCGTTGTTTCTGTTATTGTCATTCTACCTGAATGAGTGCAACTATATTAACTGAAGACTGTTGTTTTTCTGATCTGTTTTCATCCACATGTACACACGCAGAAAAAAAAGTATTACAGTTTGTGTGTGGGTTTTGAAGCTTTTGAAATAGAATAAGGGGACTCTTAAAGTTTGGTTGCATTGAATACTTATCCAGAGACAACATATGTAGCCGTTAGCTCAGTGTGTTATAAAATGTGTTTTGAAATGTCTAAATGTTGTAGCTGTTGTACTGCACTTTATTCATTTATTGTTAATGTTGTGTTATAGTTCTGTTATTTGTTGTGTTTAAATACACCTGCACATCTGAAGATTTGCTCAGTCACTGTTGTGTGAGGCAGAGGAAACACAATTAAGACTATCCCTTGCACCTCACTTCTCCTTTAATTTTCTCTCTTCTCCTAAATTGTCCTTTTCTCTGATGTACTCCTGAGATTGGATGTCTGACATGTTTTATAGTCCTACATTACTGAAAAAATATTTGAAGATGTTATACTGCGGTTTAAGTATTTGTAATTTTGCTTGACACTGCTGTGTTGCACTTATTTCTGTTGTACTTTTTGGATGAATTCTTAGAATAAAATAATTGTAAAAGTGTATCATCTCGATCTATTATTTGTGGCTGCATTTTAACTTACCTGAATAAGTAAAGGTAACTCAGTGATTTCAGTTAACTTTAACTCTTAATTTTCAGCTAAGATTTACTAGCAAACAAGACAAATTTTTACCTATTTTAACTGACTAAATACCTGTTGAATTTAACCATAAATATGAGGTACATTTTACCCAACTTTTTAAAGTATTTCTTACATGTCTAAGTTAATTACTTAATACTCAATATATTTAACTGAATATACCTTAACGGGGACAGTGCAAATTGTTACCTCACTTTTTTAGGGTAAATTCTATAGTTTGCTTTTTACAGTGTGTGAACCTCGCTTAAGACTTAAGAACACATTTCCTAAACAGCGAACACCAAGTAGCATTGATTTGTCCTGGAATAAGACCAAATAAATAAATAATACTAATATCTCTCAAAAGCTGAACAGCACTTCACTGATAAGCATCGGATTGCTGAAGGTGTTTGTATATAAAGCGATCGTAGAGGGCGTTTGGGGTTATATATGTATATGTGTGTGTGTGTGTGTGTGTGTGGGGGTGTGTATGCGTGTGTGTGTGTGTGCGTGCGTGCGTGCGTGTGTGTGTGTGTGTATTCATTTCTCAGCCTTTTTCTTTTCCACAACCATCTGCACTGACACTCTGGGTGATAAATGTAAATAAGCACAGCCAGCATGAGAAGTGGAGCGTCATGTGCAAGCGTGGCAATCTGTTCACGGCGGCTCTGCAGAACCACATCCTAATCCAATCTGGATGAACGAGGCTCGGCGAAGGAAAGCGCTCGGGCCGAAGCGAGGCGACCGCTCCCTCTGTTTACTCTCTCTCTCTCTCGGATGAGGCCTGACTGCGCTGTGCAGGCACAGAGCGAGAGGAT